TCCGTGTCCATGTGTATGACGATAAACTGCATCCAAATCCATGGGCATGATGGTAAACTGCATCCGCATCCATGTGTATGACGGTAAACTGCATCCGCGTCCATAGGTATGACGGTAAACTACATCCGCGTCCATGGATATGACGGTAAACTGCATCCGCGTCCTGGGTATGGCGATAAACTACATCCACATATTAGGTATGGCGATAAACTACGTCCAACAGAAAGACCGCTTTTGAAAAATTAAGGTTGTCGGCTATACGGTTTTGGAAAAGTAGTATTACCAGCTATACGTTTACGAATGAATAATATTACCAGCAGTGTGTTTTTGGAAAAATGATATTACCAGCTATACGTTTTTGAAAAAATTATATTACCAGCCATATGTTTTTGGAAAAATAATATTACCAGCTATGCGTTTTTGGAAAAAATAATATTCCCAGCTGTACGTTTTTGGAAAAATAATATTACCAGCTCTACTTTTTTGAAAAAAAATATTCCCAGCTATACGTTTAAAAATATTACCAGCTATATGTCTTTTAACAAAATCTTGTTCAATGGAATTGTAACTGGGGTCAAAACACTGTGAAAGGATGATGATTTAAAAAAAAAAATAATGTTGCCAGTTATACGTTTTTGAAAAAAAAAAATGTTGCCAGCTATACGTTTTTGAAAAAAAATAATGTTGCCAGCTATTCGTTTTTGAAAAAATAATGTTGCCAGCTATACGTTTTTGAAAGAAATAATGTTGCAAGCTATACCAAAATCATTTCCAGCATAAAGTGACCACTAAGGTTGGAATGCTGTTTAACACAACAAACTTCAGAAAATACCTTCCTTTAGAGAACCACAAATCTTTCTCTCCTTACTCTCTTTATCTCACTCTTTTATATATATATATATATATATATATATATATACGAACAACAACATATCATTAAGATCTTTAGGTATCCTTCTTCAGTAATAAACTAATGTACCCATGAATATGTTGATGAAAGAGATAAAAATACATATTTATATGCATGCATATAATAATTAACCTGATACTGGAATGTTCTTTTGTTTAGCATATACCTACATGATTGTTGATATAGTGTTTGTAACATGGCGTTAAGAATGTCACTTTTCATTTTCTTTTGATATTCATCGCCTTCCTAACCTATCCTAACCTATTTTTTTGAAGTAGTGTGGAACATCTACATTGAGTTACAAGTTCAGTTACATGTCATATCCAATTTAGTCGCTGCTGTTGTTGAAAGTCCTCAAATGATGTGATTTCTGTTATCTAATACATCTCTTTGTGATGCTGTAGTGCCAGTTCACAAGGTCCAAAGAAAGTTGTTCCTCGCTAAGATCTACAAGATTCATTCGCCGAAAGACATTTGTAACCATTGATCTGAGGAAGCGATTATATGTACAGAGTGCAATGGATAAATTGACGTCAAAATTACGCAAAAATGAAAATAATACTGACATCTCGTTTTTTCAAAATTACACAAAAATATCTTGAAATACTAAAGAGTAACTTTATTCAATAAAATCGCCATTGGTTTCAACCAATGCCTCCAGACGACTTCGGAATGTGTAAAACTTCTGGATGATCTCCTTGTTTAATTTGGTGAATGCTGCCATAATCCTCGTCTTCAGTTCATCTTTGGTGTTACAAGGAGTTTTATTGGTCTGTCGCTCAACTGCACCCCTCACATGATAATCAAAGGAGTTGCAGTGCGGGGAGTTAGGTGGCCAGAAGTAAGTTGTGATATGGTCGCTGGAATTGTCTGACAGCCATGGCTGAGTTCTCCTGCCTGTGTGGCATGGTACAGAGTCCTATTGCCAGGTATGGGGTCTTCCATCAGTCACCCTCTTAACCCAGGGCAGCACTACCTCCTCAAGGTACTTGATGTAGGCTTCCGTGTTGAGTCTTAGACCCTCACGACTAAATTCGGGAATTCTTTTCTTATCAAAACAATCAGATTGAGTTCTCCGAGCTGCAGTACCTTCGTAATCACCATTAAACTCATCCTCTTCTTTCTGAATCCTCTGCACTGTCCTCAGATTGACACCCCAAACTCTGAAATGTTCGTATTGGAGCTTCCGGTGCGAATGTCAAGCAGTACAGTATACCGTTTCCAAATTTCTGAAAATTTTAATCAAAACAAATATAGTAGTTTGAAAATGACGAACACTACTGTATTTGTGTTGAAAAAAACAACACCCTGATGATAACTTTGGGTTAATGTTGAAAGTATTCGGAATAAATGACATGTATCAACACGGTAATTTTCTCTCTTCCTTTAATAATGACACCAAAAAGCGTGTCCGTGAATATGAAAGGATCCAATAGAAAATAAGTAGACAAACTTGTCTAAATTATTCAATTAAACATATCCCAACATATATATATATATATATATATATATATATATATATATATATATATATATATATGAAATATGTAGATTTATAATCAGTAAAATATTTTTTAAGCTTTTCAAGTTTTTACTCGTGTCACATAGAAAAAAAATAGTAAATTGGAGATTTAAAAGAGCAAAAACTTTAAAATTATTCTGCAAGTCAATTTACTTTCAATTTGTATAACATTTTTGACTTGTTTGGATCTTTGATCAAAGGCTGTTATTTAGCAAATAGAAATTTTTACTTACTTTTGTCATATCTGCGTATTTTTGACTGACATTGAAGAAAGAAGTATCGGGAAGTTGTTCAAGGAAGCATTTGTATCCTCGTAACCCAATAAATTACAAAGTTTGTTTGGATATTTTTAATGGTTTCACCCCAAGCAAGACGATAATTCCAGTAAGATGCGAGGGGTTACTGGGAGTGAAAGAGAATCGGAAAACTTTAGAGAGAAGAAAGGACAATAAAAGAACAGTATTCAGAAGAACAAAAAAAGATGAGAGCTTGTTTTAATTCTTATTCTTTTTTTTTTTTTGTCATTTTACCGCAACCAAGGTAATAAAAGTTGAGACGCCAAAGATTACTGAATGTGAGTGAAAGAAACTGGGAAAATTTTATCGAGAAGAAAAGACAAGATTCAAGATGGGGATTGACGTTACATTTAAATTTTTGAAGGTCGTAGATGACAGGAAAACAAGAAACTGGGAGAGATTCCACAAGCGAAAAGTGCGAGAGAAGAAACTATAGAAACAGAACTTACGATTATATTTAGCCATTTCAACAGTAAAAACGTCGAAACTTCTATGCAAATCAAGTAGTATGCCTAAATTCAAGCAGTTGATGCAGCAAGGAGGAACGTGCATCAGAACAATTGCCATGAAAATATTTATAGTAAAAACAGATGTAAACCACATCACAACGGTGAGAAAGTGACTTAAAAGTCGAGATGCCAGGTCAGGATCTATTATATTACAGACCCTTCTTTGGATTTTGCAAGAATCTCATGATATATAGAAAGAGCACCAAATCGGATATGGCAGTGATATTAAATGTGCAGACGGGTGGTACATTTACAAATGCGCAAGATGGATTCTTATGAGAAAACATTGAAAAAGGAAAAGGCTTAATCTGAGTTTTTACAGACAGAAAAAAATATTGATATTCCACTTTTCACAAATGACTTTCTCCATTCAGGCCTCATAAATTAGTGTCTAGCTACAATTTGCTCGCACACGACGAACATTAATATCGATTGTCTGACGGCACACAGTTTTCAGTGCACTTCTTGAATGTATATTAAAACGCACACATACAAATCACTAATAATTGTCGATGAATTCACGCCAGTAAAGAATGTTAAACTGCCTAAGCCAGCCTGGGAATAATTTTTCCTCGTTCGAATGAGAAAAACCAATGACTCCTGAGAAATGAACAGAAGTCGACAAACTCGGCCATCGTCTTCTTTCTTCATTCGTACAGAGCTCGAGGCAGCAGTACTGAAATATCAATCCTAGTATTGTTAGCGTTCATTCTCCATTGTAACCTGCTATCGCCATTGGATCCAGCTTCCACTGATTGACTTTGAAGGTCACAGGATGAGATATTATTATCCAATGGGAATTGTTTATGCAATCATGCAGTACAAAACGTGATTTCTTTGCTTACCATTTTAATAGAGTTTTTCATTGTTATTTTGATTAAAAGAAAGAAGATATTTTGTTAACTAGTAATATGTCTTTATTTTACTATACACACACAGTCACATATGTACAAACATATCTTAAGTAAACCGACACTATTATTTCTGTCAGAATTTGATGTGCTTATTGACAGTTGCTTTATCCATTCAGTCAGTCAGTTACGTGCCATGCGTGATACACGCTAAGGCGATCATGTGTCTTTCGAAACATGACTGACGAGGCAGATTTTTTCCCGCAGTAGGTTGCCATTTCTTTCTGTGGTAGGCCAGTTGCCATCCAAGGCTATAGAACCCGGTCTCTCCTGCTATTTACCCATAGCTGGAGGAAAGGCGGGAGAGAAGAGGATTCATACCTTTCCCAAGAGTATTAGCACGTAAGTGAATTCTGGAATTCTGGAATCGACTGGAATTCGATCTCGGCTCTCCGATTCCTCAATCCGAGAAAAACAGTATGCAAAAGAAAGGATTAATTGCACAATTATTTCACAATGCCTTCTATTCTTGGAGTACAGGAACTGTCAGTTGCCAGAGTCACATATTGTTGGTATTTCTAAAAGTAGAGAGGAACCAATGTTAAATAATATCTAAATATTTTGATTTGTCATTACGGTTTATCAACCTTCTCTAGGTTATTTAAACCAAAACATATTTTTAAATTCTAAGAACAATTCTATTTTTTTTTTTTTTTTTTTGCGAGTGAATATTGTATTAATATTTTCGGGAGAGCGAATAATTACTATTTATCCTATAGATGGGAGCGGGAGTCGGATTCATGCCTTTCTCAGGGTTATTAAGTGAATGTAACGAACCCGATTGGAACTCGACCTCTGCGCTCCAATTTCTCATTCCGAGTCGCTTTCCATTACACCACCCGCACGTCCAAGCTTACAGAACCTGATATTCCCAAGCAGTCATCCATCTAGGTAGTGACCAGGCTTGATATTGCTTAACTTGGGTGATCAGACGAAAACCGGCGATTCAACGCGATATAAGCCCCAATAATATTTAGACGGAATCTTTCAATCTTAACTGTAAAATGTGTGATCGTAAACACTAATGAAGTAAAAGAAAACAGTGTCTTTCGGTCACGTTGATCCAGTCTATCAGGAACGTATCTTCGTGTGTCAATATCGTCCTACGAATATCTATACAATATTTCATGATACGAATTATTATTTCATGCATAGTGAGTGGCAGTTTCACGTATTAAGGGATCAATAACCATGTTCAGATGATCGCTTTAGGAGTGAAACTGTTAGTCAAAATGCAGTGTCTATTTCTATGCCCACGTTGTTTATATCTAAAAATAAAACAAACACTATCGTCGACTTTTTGCCCATAAGTATAGCAGATCATTAAGAAAACCACTTCTTAAACCAGTTAACATTCAAGTGACAGAGAGCAGTGAGAAATTAAAACACAGTTACAGTAAACTTTTCAACATTAGGGTTACAGTAAACATTTCAACATTAGGGTTACAGTAAACTTTTCAAACCAATGTTCATTTTTTAAACAGCGGATTAATATGATTCTGCCAAAGATTTTTTAGACACTTGCAGTCCATTATCAGGTATAGTAGACATTCACTTATGGCGTAGGGAGAATTTTCTAGGCGGTGCACGTTCATTGCTTCTGGAATTCATAGGGGATATAAATAAAGAAAAATACGTATATCCTTTCATTAGGAAGGATATCTTCCAATATTTACTAAGATTTCTTTAGATAAAGGCATTTACTTTTTAATGCCTTACTGTAAAAAAAAAACAAAAAACAAAAATTACCGGAGAACAGCACATCCAAAATGCTATGAATGGTTTCCTATAACAATTTAATCTTCTGATATGAATCCTGTTTATCAACGCAGAGTGGTAGAGAATTATTACTGGTCTGGTGCTTCTACTATGTATTTAGAGATTCTTGATAAAATCCAAAGAACAATCTGCAATATTATTGCTCATCACCTGGCATCTCGCCTTCACTCACTTTCCCACCGCCGTAACGTAGATTCCCTGGGTCTTTCCTATAAATATTTTCATGGCAATTGTTCTGATGAGCTTTCCTCTTTGGTACCTAGACTTTACGAATTTAAGTGCAGTACAGGATTGGCCGTTAGGTTTCATCATTTTACAGTTGAAATTGCTAGACGTAACCATAAGTTCTATGCTAACAGTTTTCTCACACTTCTCGTTTGTTGACCTCTCTTTTGTCTTCTTGCTTTCCAGTGAAGTTTGATTTCCAAAATGTAAATGGCATGTCAATTGTTATTTTTTGTCTTTTTAAAAATCATTTCACCCTGGGCAAGGCAATAAAACCACAGAGACACAAGGGGTTACTAAGTGTGAAAGAATTAGAAAAAACATAAACAATATTAAGTAGCGAGAACAATAAAAGAGGATTCTAGAAGACAGTAGATAATGTTTGACATTGCATTTAAATTTTTGAAGATCAAAATTCCTGTTCTTTTATTATTCTCTCTCCTTAATAATGTTTTTATTCTTTCACACTTAGCATCCCGTCTTGCATCTTAGTGAATTTATTGCCTTGCTTGGCGTGAAATAATAAAAAAGAAAATGAAAAAGAAAAGAGTATATCTCAAATTAGCCCAAGGACAACTTGTGTCACGATTCTATTGTGATCGTGAAATAAGAGAAATAAAATCTTCTACAAATAGAATTATTTATCCATCCGCCTTGCTCATTGGTTGCAGCAGCATCCTGGGTAATCGATCTGTATTGGGATTATTCGTACTTAAAATCTGCCGTGTTTTTATTTTACAGACATAATATCTGCATCCCATGTCTAAACATCTTTATACAGATTCAGGTTGGTGCGTTTTGAATTCAGTATTGTCCTTCTCCTAGACTGTTTACCTACCACTGATAGAGAGTAGTCTTCCCTGCCATTTAATCCATAGCGGAAAGGGGAGAAGTGATTGGTTCATACCTCCCCTCCCCCAGGGGTACTTGCGCAAAAGTGAATGTAATGAACTCGACTGGAATTCGAACTCGGTTCCAAGCCGTTAACAATTACATTACTTACACAAAAATAACTGCTTCATATTTTAAATGTAACCTGATTCGGGCTATTCCTTAAAAGAAGATAGCAGGTTTTATCGAATTATGGATTCGGTTTCAACCTTTTGGAAGTTATTTAAAGCTAGAAAATATTTATTAAATTTGAAGATTTTTTTAGATATTAATGGTTTAGAAGTCTTACTAATTAACCCATAGTTGGGGAGAAAAGGCGGATTCATACCTTTCCCAATAGTATTTGCGTGTAAGCGAATATAACGAACCCAACTGGAATTGTTACTCGGCTCTCCGATTAACAATTCCGAGCCATTATCTATTACACCACCCGCACATTTAAACTTACAGCACCTGGTATTCTCAATCGGTCACCCATCTAGGTACTGACCAAGTTCGATGTTGCTTAACTTCAGTGATCGTACGAGAACCGGTGTTTCAACGTAATACCCAGCAGGTTAAATTTAAAGCTTTAAAGAATAAAATCCCTGTATGTCTATTGGTTTTTACTTTGCATATTCTAGAATACTTAGAGGCTTGAATAAAAGTTAGTTTGTTTACGTTTGTATTGTTTTTTATATTTATGACTAACATTGAAGATAGAAACATTGGAAAATTATTTTTAAATAAGGATTATTAGGATCAAAATGCCCTCAAACCCTGATAAATTACAAAATTTGTTTGGATGAATTTTGATTTAAAATTGAAAACTAAATAAAAAAATGTAAATTATAGCGAGTAAATGCGAGATGTTTAACACAAAAGCTAACATTGGAAAAATGTTCAAACAATGGAGTTGGAAACAAGAACCCAAGAGAAGAATTCAAAATATTTACATGTGTGATTAAAAAAAGAAAGAAAGAAAGAAAAGAAAACCGTTATATTGTAAACGCAATTAAAAACTGTTTTTTTTTTCTCCCTTTTTATCTCCTTCCGGTGTATCCTTTCTTTCTTGATATATTTCTTTCTTTCTTTCTTTCTTTTTTTTCAATTCTTTTTTCTCTTTAATTTAATTTATGCTTCCTTTTCACCTTATTTTTTGTGAATCATCGTCTCCATTTTACCTCTTAATTTTTCTATACTACTTTCTCTTTCACTTTACTTCTTTCCGCTTCACACACACACACACACACACACACACACACACACACACACACACACACACACACACACACACACACACACACACACACACACACACACACACACACAGAGACAGGGCACTTCGACGTGGTGTAAGGGTTAGCAAGGTTGCCTCGCTAGATCAATTACGACTGAATAGTAAGTTCGATCCTCACTGGATGCCCCATGATTTCAGCCTTGTGGCACATCTAAGCTACGCTTAGAAAATCACCACACACACACACACACACACACACACATGGACACACACATTTCTATCTTCTCGACAAGTGTCTTTAACGGCTATCGTATGGATTGCTTTCAATATCAATGCCAAGTGTCAGGAAAAAGGAAAACATGAACAATTTTAATTAATTTTCAGATTTAGCGAATATTACAATGATACCTATTCTTCGCAAACACGATGGTGTAGCACAAAATCTGCCCGGGCAGAAACTAGATATCTTGGACTGTTCATTCGTCAAAATCCCCCTCTTGGTATTGTCTGTGGGAAAGAATAAATTTATACAGTTTGGTACTGGAACAGCTGCAAGACTTGCCGGAAGGTGGCGCAGTACGCCATTCCAACGGACCTAGGAACTTCAATATGGATTTCTGTAAGGTTTAATCCTTAGTGTTCTCTTTTCTCGAATAGTGAAAGATATTTTCTTAAAGTATGCTGTATCTTGGGAAATAAATATATTTCTTTTTGAATTAATAGTACAGCAAAGAAAACTTACTCCCTTCAATTATAATTTTACAACGCAGTGCTAACTTCTGAAAGTTTTCCACAAATGACATTCACTCCGAAACTCTTTCCATTCAACAAACGGAAGCTCCCTCTACTATGTTTACCGTTCAATCCCAGAACTGCTTAAAAACTTTTGACAATGAATTTCGTGAAATTAGCTGACGTTCTACCAAGGACTTTTATAAGTTTGTTTACTACTGTAAGTCTCCACTTTCTTATGAACGTTTTTCTTTGGCAAGCTTAATTTTTATGCGCTCTGTCGAATATTTTGAGAAATCTCTACACCTATCTTGCTTTTCATATAAATTATTATGGTAAATAATTAATTACTTTATGTTTCAATTTCACACTGAGTTAGATTCTTTAATATGCTCTTAAAGAATTGTTCATTTTATTTATATCGGTAAGTCCCCATCTTTATTATTTCATCACAATGTTTCGGCTTTCTTCCGATGTATTGCAATTTGTAGATCTTCAGTGACACACGGTAGGTTTTTCACCACCTGAATGAGAAGAGCACAATTCTCAAGTTCAAACTCCAGTGTTTCATGTACACGCGGGAAATAAATTTTCCGGTCAGAGTGAAAACAAACAAACAAAACAACAACACATTTTAAATTCATCCATGTGCCATATATATATATATATATATATATATATATATATATATATATATATATATATATATTTGTGTGTGTGTATTTTCGGCAGCATTTTTCATTGATGCATGTTTCATTAAATAATATAGACAAGTTTTGTCTATTTTATCTAAATTCTTTACATATCGTCTGATAAGCTTAATAACATTATCAAAGACGAAAGAAAATCACCATATTGATACATAATTTTTAATCCTATCAAAGTTTTCTCAATTATTCACAATGATTCTTCTCCCACCATTAGCGATTTGCAAAAAAAAACAACATAGTTTACAAATTCAAGTGCCCTTTGGGAGATTGTATCTCCAACGGATTAAATAATATTTATGTTGGTCACATTACAAATTCGCTTTCACAACGCTTGACTCTACATTTGAATGATAACTCTAACATTTTTAGGCATTTAAAACAACATGCCTGGCCGCATTCACAATTCTGGAAAATCCTCGTTGAAAACACAAATATACTTAAACATGAAAACAATAAAGAAAAACTAAAAATTCTTGAAGCTATATACATAAAACAGTTGAAACCTAACCTGAACAAAATAAACTATGGAATCTCCACAAATATTCTTAAATTTCTATAATTGATAACAGAAGCCATTAGTTTATACCAACGGCTTCCCATACTTAATACGTCTCGTTTTCACTCTCGCGTGATCATGTGTGACGTGATGAGCTGTGATGCGATTTTCGCTTCCAGCGTCTCGTATGCACGAGTTTGTCGTTGCTTGGAAATCTTCCATGTAAACAAAAACAGACTATCATTATTGTTTTGTCCGTGAATTGTTTAATATATTGTAATGTAATTGTCATCTTTGATAATGGCTTATGTAAGCCGAAAGCTTAGATAGGATTAAAAATTATGTATCAATATGGTGATTTTCTTTCGTCTTTGAATGATAATGTTATTAAACTTATCAGACGATATGAAAAGAATTTAGATAAAATAAATAGACAAAACTTGTCTATATTATTTAATAAAACATGCATATATATTCATATATATATTCGTATATGAGTTAATCATATATATATATATATATATATATATATATATATATATATATATATATATATATATATATGTTCAAAGAAATTTTTGAGAATTGAAGGAGAAAGGTTTGATCCCACAGATAATTTAGAAGATTATAGGTTCCGCACGTACTCCTAATAGTCTTAGAGATAGGTGTGACTTATGTTTAAAAGAAAAAATTAGAATAATATAATATAATAACCAAAGCCAACTATTAAATCAGAGGAATGAATTAGTGTTTAAATGTCGACATAAAAACTAATTCAAATTTCCATAATATAGGTTTAACTTAATTAGCTACTATTTTTCCATAATATTCACTCCTCTCTAACTCTTCAAATGTCGAATGTATAACTAATTCTAATCTCTATTTTTCCCAATCTGTAACCTCTTTAACTATATTAATTATAATTTATAAATTTTCCCCTACTCTAAGATCTCCCCAACATTCTTTTCATTAATCCCTTACATCCTTTTATCTATATATTTTAAAGTTATTTTAAACCGCTTTTTATCCCTCTTTTAATTTTAGATTAATATTTCATTCTTTATATAATCCCAAACAATGCTTCATAATGTTAATATTCGGGTTTAATTTTATAAAACTTCTCCCCTTTAAGACAAATGCCTTCCACCCGCCTCTGACCCCTGTCTCATGCCTTTCGTCTGACTGAAACAGTGAAATGGATAATTCCGTATTAGTGTTTCGACTGGTTCTTTCTTTTAGCTTTCACAGTTAAATTTCTGTTTCTGACACGAACTCAGTCCACATTGGAGTTGATAAGACAGCCAACCAACATCTTCGTCTGCCCAAATAGGTTATTCCCCATATGAGGTGAATTTGGATTTTACTGTTTATTAATTATTTGCTCTGTAATAATAATCAGTTTTAATATATTTTTATATTACTAGGATCCACTTGGATTATAGACCAACGGATTTGTTATTATATATATATATATATATATATATATATATATATATATATTACTATAGGTAGCTAGTGTATATTTGCACTATATATATATATATATATATAATACTATATGGTAGCTAGTGTATATTTACACACTGTTATGCGCACTTATGTACACAGCGCATCTATATTTGTATGCGCTTTTCCTTTATTATTATTATTATTATTCTTTCATTTTTTGCGCCCCCCTCCCTCTATTTTTTGACAATGGTTTTCCAAATAAATTTTCTATCAAAATGTTTTATTCTTCTATTTGTTCCGTTCCTTTTTCTTTTTTTTTTCTTTCATTTTATTTTTATTACTTTTTTTCCATTGTCCCCCGACTCTATTCCTGTCTCGTAAAAATGTCTTGGACGAACAATCTTCGGCACTGACCACACACGGGATGTCATCCCCACCCCGCGTCCTATGACCATCTTCCTCTATATTCACAATCTCATTCCCCCATTACCTACACTGATAAGAATAAAACGGCCTAACGCATTTCTATCGATCCAAAGCTTGAATTTAAGTTTATTTTCATAAGTTTCCATAGCGAGGAATCAGACAGAGATCGGGATTTTGTTAATAATACGATCTCCACCAGAATTCACACCGTCCACAAGAACAACTGTCGGTGAGTAATCCCCATTTCTCTGTTTATTTCTCGCACCGCTGATGAAGGATACATGTGTGCCTTAAAATTCCAGACTTAAAACCTTAATTTCTGTGCTTCATTTCTGTCTTGTGGTTAATAAATGTTTTTGTGCCAATTACATTGGTACCCTTTCGTTTGCCCTTGTTTTATTAAACAACCTATCTATTTTACATACTATAAGAAGCACACGTGAACACTTCTAATCATATATATATATATATATATGTGTGTGTGTGTGTGTGTGTATGTGCCTTATCAGA